CGATCAAGTCACACAATTCTCTCAGTCTCGGTCACTCTCATCACCACCATACATATCAGCCAACTTTTTAAAACGGGGCCCCCAGTCACTGAGGTAATCATAATCTTGGTTACAATCTGCTGTGAGAGATTCCAAAGAACTCAGTGAATCTGCTATGGAATCATTCCCCTCATAGGCATAGGTTGCCAATGAATCATAAGGAGGTGCGCTTGGGTCTGCATCATTTTCTTTCACTCTTCGGTGGATAAAATCTTGAACATCAATATTTTCCCACAGAGGCACAGTCCTCCTTAACTGAAAAATAGTTTCTGGCATTACATCCCGTCTAAGTTTACTGTCTTCTCTGGCTTCAGGATTCCTTAATGTGCCAATGTCAAAAGCTTGTGTGTCTTCCTCGCCACCCCCTTCATCGTTGTAGGTCACAATGTTGTCTCTGACATCATCTTTTGAAATTATCAGAGGTTCCTTCTTTCTTTGCCTCTTCATTGCAGCAAACAGCACAACTAAAACTACCAGCAAAACAAAACAAACAGGCAAAAAAAAAAAAAATTATGAGAAACAGAGATTCCTCCATGCATAAATTAAATTACCATAAATTCAACATGGTATACTGGTGTGAAATATTTCTATGCATAAAATTTATGGAGTATAGGAAGTATCAAGTTATTGTCGATATAAAAGACTAACTATCTTACACAAACATAGAGTGCCTTGGCCGATGGTTGCATGTACCGTATTGATGATGACACAGATTGCACAATGCCATTAATTTACTTTCAAGAGTCATTTTCTGATGGAGGTAACACTGAAATATTTTATTCGATCTCCTCTTTTGCCTTTATCCAATTCAACTTCCTTGACCCTTCACTCTTCCCAAATGTTTATTTCCAAACATTTAAATGTTTGGAATTGTTGTTGTCCCAATAGAAATTAGGCTACAATTGAATATTATCTTAATGGCACAATGAGATATGATATATGCAATATCATGTAGTAAAACCTGCAAAAGCTGGAATACATATAAGAAGCAATCCTGTCAGAAAAGGAAAACTCAAAAATTTCCACTAAAACCACTGACAGAAAATTGGTAAGACTGCATTCTTCCAAAGGCGGAAACTTGAGAAACCTAGAATAACAAGGCAGTCTCATTGAGTTCTAACCCTCACAGGTTTCACTGAATATGATGAGTTATATTCATCATCTTGCATACGTTTTGAAAACTAGTAAAAATAAGACATATCCATGATCCCTCTCATATTAAAGGATGACCATTAATTAAGGCCAACATATATATATGTTAAATGCACTACATTTAACAACGTGAAGCTGATTCCAACTCATAGCAACCCACATTAGGTTTTCCAGGAGGTAAATCTTTAAGGAATTCGATTGTCCTGCCTTCCTTCTGCTGTGGTTTTGAACCTCCAACCTTCTGGGTAGCAGTCAAATGCCTTAGGCACTATGTCACCAGAGCTCCTTAGTAGGTATCATATAGAATTAATGAATTTTAAGTACTCCACATCTTATGAGTAAAATAATAACCATACCAAAACAAAACCAAACACA